GACGATTTGGACGTGAACGGCGACGGCGTCGTTTCCGGGAGACCCTCGCCGCCTACTTGGGCGAGGGCGCGGCCGTCCACCGCTCTCCTCCACGCGCCGGCGAGCCGTCCAAGGCGGCGGCGGCAGCGGGTGGCGGCGGCGGCCAAGGCAGTCCTTTGGCGCAAGGGGCAGTAGTCAAGCGCAAGGCGTGGCGCTACTCCCGTGACGGGCCTTTCCTCGTCCATAGCAAGTCACCACAGCCAGGGCCGCGGGCCTTGTTTCCTTCGTAGACTAGTAGCTCTCGCCAAAGCTGGCTGGCGTGCGAGCCGAGGCGAGGGGTGGCCACGCAGGTACTCGAGTAGTGTCTGAAGAGCAGACTGCTGTGGTTCTTTGGTTGCACAGAGGGGCGATGTGGGTGTCGAGAGTCGAGTGTCGAGTAATAAAAGCGGCCGGGGAGAGAGCGGAGGTCACCGGATACCGTGTTGCTCCCAGCGCCCTCCCCCGCGCTTCCTGCGGCCCTGGCCGATGATACTAGTATGTGAGGTCATCTGGCTACCGCGAGAGCGACCCAACTCGTCGACATCGTCCGATGGTTGTGCCTCAAAGTCAGCCTTCCCCCTTCGGAGGCTATCGTGGGGTCGTACGAGCTGGCAGTAGGAGTAGCCGTGACATGTGGTTCCACCACCCCTCATAGGCCTAGCCTCTGATCGTCACCGTTCCCAGGCTGCCTAATGGGATGGAAAGGAAGGCTGGGCGAGCGTATAGAAGCGTGCTCGACCTCGTCGTGGCAACCTGCACGGCAGCGCTGGCGGGCGCGATGAGCGTCGTGCGCCACCTGACGCTGACCCGAGACGGGTCGCAGGCGTCGTACCGAGCTCGTCGACCTGTCAGAGCTTGATCTACGATCTCAGCGGCGTCGAGTCGCCTTGGGCGGCGACACTATTGTCCCTCCCCAGGACGCGCAGAGGCAGCTGCAACCCCGCCGAGTGGACGGTTGCACACCGCGCCACCTGCTGTGTGCAACCGTCTACTCGGGGGGGCGGGGGTCGCAGCTGCCTCCGGAAGGCACCGAGAGGGACAATAGTCAAAATCAAGGTTTTGTAACGCGAGCTGTGCCACAGTGAAATGGAATTAGCCGGGCTCGCCAAGAGAGGCGGTAGTGCCTGTCCTCGTCCTTCGGGTTCTCCATCCAGCCCGAGCCGAGCACGTCAGCGTTGGAGAGGTCGACACGCGCCTGCACCAGGCGGGCGGCGGTGCATTTTAAAACAAAACTCCTTTTTTGCGAGGTCAAGTGCTGGTAACGATGCACCCGAAGGGGACCCCAATGCCAACACCATCTGTGGAGGTGCAAGTGTCCGAAACGAGAGTGGACCTGAGCAACGACTTGACTTGGCGGCAAATGATCGGAGTGGGTGTCAGAAGAGTCGTCCTTGCGCGAGGAGAGCTTGATAAACTCGAGGTCTTGTTGGTTTTCAAAAATCTCTCTCCAAAGTACGCCGCGAGGTCCGAGGAGGGCGGATCTACATACACTCGTGAGGGAGACACACTACGGCTCTACGCCGTGAGGGAGCTTTGTTGTAAAATTCTCTTCTTCGTGTGAGGACGACGGCTTCTACTATTGAATCGTGCGTGTGCGAGAGAGTTTTGTTGTATAATTCTCTTATTCATGTTGTACCTCACTGCGGCCAAAGCGGACAAAACCCGGGGCCAGCCACTCCCCTCCTACTTGCGTATGAAAGGAACCCAATTTCTTCGCGCCGGATTTGCAAGCCTCTCGACATCCTTGCAGGATCTTTGCGGGGGAAAATCAAGTGGGAAGGGATGCGTCCTGGCTCGAGTATCCGGAAGGAGAGCGCTCACATTCGCAGGCACAAGTCGAAAGGCCCTTGCAGGACTCTCGCATCGCACATCCATCGTGAGTGGCAGCCCCGCGCGGAGCCCGCTAGGAGCCCACACCCAGCATGCGCTCACCCAACACACACGCGCTCGCAAGCACTCGCCACCCGCCGCACGCATTGCCACCTATCGCTCCACCGGCCGCCTGGTCGGCCGCCGCCACACTCGCAGACGCCCAAACAGCCACTGCGCAGTTGCCTGCACGCCAACGCCATCCATGCGGTAGAGCCATCTACGTACCAATCAGCCTCCTCTATGTGTGGCACAGGAGACAGCAGCAATGGCGATCCGATCAATCGTGCTCCTCGCGACTACTCTCGCGGCCAACGCCTTGCCCGTCCACTCACCGTCGCCTTCTTCGCTGCTCAACACTTCCAGCGCAGCAGGTTGTCCTGTTGGAGCGCCCGTCGTGGTGAAGAACGAGTGCGGCAGGCCAATGTTCGTGCGTGGAATACAAGCTCAAGGCAATCTTGCTTGCAACCTGCCAGACGCACCAAACAACTGCCAAAAAGTTGATGCAAAAGGGCAGCTGGTCTTAAAAGGTAATGAAGGCTGGCACTCGGCTGTTGATGCAAAAGGGAAGGCAATTGCTGCTACGGCACTCGGCTTCAGTTATGCAAACGAAAAAGGCACAGCACCAGATCTGCTGACTGTACCAGGGGATAGTTTTTTCGTACAGCGTTTGGAGTTTCAGACTTGCGATTTGGGCTCGGCCAACTTCGACAGCCAGACCAGTTTCTCGTTTCCCATTTCCTTTGCATTCAAGAAGGACGGCACCTTCGCACAGCAGTGCCCTAAGGCAAATGGTAACGTACAGGGAACGCAGTCCAATGCGGGACATCCCGACAAGTGCGCCTTCGATACTAACAAGTGTCCTGAGAAGCCGCTCGCCTACAAGGTGAAGCTTGCTCCCGGTCAGGACGCACCATACTGGTGCATAAGCCCGGATCGCTTTCGGAACGCCATTTCTGAACAAATGGACAATCCAAAGGCGGAGGAATGCGCTAAAGATCCAAAACAATTCGGTTGGACATCCCATGGAGAGATTGGCGCCAATCACTCATTTTGCGAGTCGCAGGAGCCTGCAATGAAACTTGCGTATAAACAAGTTGATCCAGGACTGAAGCGCGGGGTCATATTGTATGACGAGAATGACCATGAGATCCAATGTGATGACCAGACATGCGAGTACTTTGCAACAGCGAGCGGCGCGAAGGAGTACCAGCGTGCTGTCAACCAGGCGTGCCAAAATCAGCCTCCAACGCAGGTCTTGCAAGGCTCAGTTACTTCCGGTCTCAAGTTGGGATCTGATGTACCGTGCCCTGGCGGAGGTGATACAACCCCCAATTGTGTGGACAAGCGCGGTTATCGGACGGCGGCTGCAAATTACTTGGACCACGCCGTCACCTACGAGGCTGATGGCAGGGGAATGTGGTCGGGTTTGGGTGTCTCCAAGCGGGGATTGATGATGGCGGGCACGGTTGGAATCGAGTGCGGCCCTAGCGAATTTGACGCGATCGAAGTCACGCTGTGCGCTGCTTGAGATAAGTGTAAGAGGTGTGCATGTGCAGGGTGCGTGAGTCAGTGGGGTGATAACGCACCTTGTCTAGGTTGCATGTACACGCTGAGTAGCGAGTAGTCTAGAGAGTGAGAGACTGTTCATTGCTTCGCCTTCGGCGTCTGTCTAGTAAGTGATAGCCGTGTCCAATGAGGGATGGAGTGTGTACTGTGTTCATTACTGTGTAAAATTCTGTCCGGCTGTCGTCCAGGCGGGACGACCCCCTCACAGCCAGAGAGCCTCACTGCCCAACGCCCAAATCAGTGCATGCCGTCCGCCACGTGGGCTGCCATCGGCATACTCAAACACAAGCTTGCCGAACGCGGAACGGCGGGAGGTCACACGACCGAGAAGAAATCTCGGGCCCTGTAGGCTCCATACGCGATACGGGATTATGACGAGGGCTGCGCGTGGAGCCGTGTGTGTGGAGGCGGGGGGCGCGGGCTGTCAAGGCTCGGTCCCCAGCCCCCCCTAGGCGCATTTTGTTTCTTTCCCGACGGGATGAATAATGCACCATCTATCCTAATGAGACGACTCCTCCTGCTGCTCCGAGTGCGCAGCCAGTGGGGGCTTGGACCTAAAAGGCTTATTATCACCACCGAGGGCCACCTTCTCGACGACCGACACGGCGAGAATTTTACAACAAAGCTCCCACTCTCCACACTCTGACACTCACTACGACACACTACGGCTCTACGCCGCTGACACGCCCGCCTTGGCCTCTGGCTCTGCGCCGGTCGCCGCGGCGACGACCTGCACATCGCTGCAGCTCGCCCACACCTGTGTGTGCCAGCGCGCCACGTCACGATCGGCGCGAGCGGGCAACTTGTGGCATGAGGGGGGGGGGGGGGGGTTTGGGGGGGGAGGGGGGTCGGCCTCTCGCCTGGTCCGACTCCTCGCAGTCCCACCGCCACTGCAGCACGTACCGCCCGGGCGACAGCGACGCGGGGAGGGCGACGCGGTCGACGACCTCGACGTTGGGCAGCAGAGGACCGCCGTTCGACCAGCCGGAGCAGCGGCACTCGCCCTGCGCGGCGCCGCCCGTCGAGTACCCGCGGACGCACGCGGCGCTCTCGTCGCAGACGGGGCGGAACGTCGGCCCCTCGCGCTCCCACAGGCCCGACGGGATCGGGTTCTTCCGCCACGAGGACCCGGCGGGCACCGTACCCGTCGACACCTGCGCAGACAGCCAGGAGCAGAGTCAGCGTAGCAATCGGAGCCAGGAAAGGGCGCGTCGGGAGAGGAGCACAGTCGAAACGGCTTGCCGGCGGCAGCGAGGGCGGCAGCAGCGGTGGCGGCTCGCGACGCGGCACCTGCCAGCCGCGAGCCGCGCTGTCGAACCGCATGTCGGCCGCCCTGTCGCCGTCCCACCGCAGCGCAGACGGCCCGTCAAACGCGAGCGGCAGCTTGCGGAAGGTGTCCTCGGTGAGAGGCGCGTCGGCGGGCGCCAGCCGGTACGCGTAGCCCCCGCCGTGGTTGGCCATGACTGTCCACCCCACCTCGGGGGAGTCGCCGGCGCGCCACACCTACAGCGCGGGCACGAGCCGGCGGCGGTGAGGACAGCGCCCGGTGGTTCAAGGCCAGACCTTGCCAGAGAGCGTGCAGCGTCTTCTTCCGAGCCTCGCGCGGGGCGGAGGGCCACGCACGCGAGGGGGCGAACTCTATCTCCAGCTCTCTAGGGCGCCAGACCGCCGCAGGCGGGCCGCGCGGCAAGGCGCTGCCCGCGTCGCCCTGCCGCATCACGCTGCTGTTTTGGAACTGCGCGCCCGCGCCTCCGACCCCCTGGCCCGGGAAGCGGCCGCCCGCCATGCCGCAGGCGTCGATGACAGGCGCCGCTCCGGGCGCCCTCCAGGGCGAGTAGTAGTAGACGTCATCCTTGGAGCCGCACGCCGCCTGCGTGTTGGCCGTCCGCAGACGCGGGTCGCACACCGTCGGCGCCGTCTTTGGATCGGCGCAGTTTGGCGCGATGGCGAGCGACTTGGCGGTCGTCTGGTTGAGGGCGAGCGCGCCGGGCGGCGGAGAGAAGGGATCTTCGATCGAGAGGTTGCGCGCGCGCAGCGCAGCCGCGCTCATGCCCTTAAAGAGGAAGCGCTGGCTGCCGTGCCCGACGTGGTTCGAGGAGCCGTCGCAGCGCGCGCAGCCGACGGTGCATCCGTTCGAGAACCAGTAGCACGCTTGGCCGTTGGACGCGGTGAGGGCGCCCTTGACGCCGCTACGCGCGGCAATGGGGCACGAGCCCTGGCAGTCATGGCCGTGTTCGCAGAAGCTGATGGAGCAGTTTGCGCCGCTGTGACTCTTGTCGCACGGGTACGCCCATGAGGTCCACGGCGCGAGGCTGCCGTCGGCGGCGTTGCGCGGACGCGGGAAGGAGAGGGCGGCGTGCCCGCTCGCACCCGACGCGAGGAGGAGCGTAGCAAGCGCTAGTTGTCGCATGATTGGCCCGAACCTTGTGCAGACGTTTTTCTTTGTGCTTGCCTGCCGTGCAGGTTTTCTTTTCTGCCTGCTCACGGCCCCATGCGCTCCTCGCAGCTCGCCGGCACCGTCCTCCGCGGCCTGTGGCGGCTGGGCCTGCCCTGCATCCGCGCGCACGCCGTCGAGGTGCTCGCGACGCCCGCTGAACTCCACGGCGCGATGGTTGCCGGCGCCACACGAGCCGAGCGCCGTCTTGCGCTCGCTTCGCTCTACATCGGGTGCGCACAGCTCACTGGCCCTAGCGGCCGTCTCTCCGCTGCACTGCGCGCTGCGGACGCCGGCTGGTTCGACGCTCCGGCCACTCGACCGTCGCCGAGAACTTCGACGAGTTACCCGCTCCGCTCCCCGGCTCTGCAGGTCGGGTGAGCGTGAGCGCGAGCTCGTCGAGGCCATGGCGGCGGGCGCACGCTCCACACGGCGGCAGACGCACCTCGTGCTTGATCGGTGGCGGGCGTCGCGCGCGCTCGAGGCGCGCCGGCAGGCGGGCGCTCCGGCCTCCTCGCTCGAGATCCTCGCGCCGCTGCTCGATGCGCCGCGAGTTCGAGTGTCCCTGGTCTCCGCACCGAGGCCATGGGCGGCGGCGGCGGCCGCCGCCGCCGCCGTCAAACCTGGCGAGGTGTCCTCGGGCGCTTCCGCGGTGGTGGCACTCTTGCAGGAGGTGGTTGGAGTGCAGCACATCAAAGGCGCGGTCTTTGACGACGACGTCCTGCTGACCGGCGCCAACGTCTCGGCCGACTACTTCTCGGCGCGGCAGGACCGCTGCATACTCCTCCGAGGCTGCGCGCCGCTGGCCGACCTCTTCTCCGAGCTCCTCGTCGCTCTCGCCGCCGCCGCCGGCACCGATGTCACAAGCCCACGCTCCTCGTCGCAGTCGCCGCCGCCGCCGCCGCTGTCGCCGTCGCCGCTGTCGCCGCTGTCGCCGTCGCCGTTACCGCCGCTGTCGCCGTCGCCGCCGCCGCCGCCGCCGCCGGCGGCGGCGGCGGCGGCGACCGAGCACAGCAGAGAGGGGCGGGCGGCGGAGGGTTTGGTTGCCGCCGTCTGCCGCATCTTTGCACGGGCTCGCGAGAGGGCGGGGCCGCCGCCAGAAGGGCCTGCGAGCGCGGGAGGGGTGTGGGTTCTGCCGGCGGCACAGATTGGCGCCTGCGTCTCTGCGACGCGGGGGCGAGGCTGCGGCGCGAGCTCGTCAACGGACGGACTGATCCACAGGCGCTTGCGGCCACGATGTCGAAGGCGAGGCGGTGCGGTTGCTACTGAGGCTTGCTCGTGAGGAGGCGACACCTCGGCTGCACCTCGGCTGCACCTCGGCTGCACTTCGGCTGCACCTCGGCTGTACCTCGGCTACCTCTCGGCCAACTCTCGGCTGATCGAGGGTGCGGAGTCGCGGCTGCCTCCAGGAGCCGCCCAGGAGCCTTCCGAGAACTTTTCATAGGGTGCGCGGCTGCTGCTGAGCTCGCCCTACCTCAACCTGCCGCCCGAGCACACAGCTGCGCTGCTCGGGTCGGCGGCGGCGGCGCCGCTGCCGCCGCCGCTCCACCCGCCGCTCCTTCTCACTGCGGCGCCGGCGGCGCACGGTTTCTCCAGTGCCCGGTGAGGGACAGTCCGGAGACATTGCGTCCTCTCTCCACCCATGCTTGACACGCCCAGCCACGCCCAGCCACGGTCAGCCGCACCCCGCCACGCCCAGCCACGCCCAGCCACGGTCAGCCGCACCCCGCCACGCCCACGCCCACGCGCACGCCATGCGCACGCCACGCCGCGCATGTCCAGAGGCGCGCGCGGGCTGCTCCCCGCCATGTACGCGGCGCTGGAGGCGAGCCTCGTCCGCCACGCGCGTTCGGTGGCCGACGCTGCGGCCGCGGGCGACCGCGATGGCGCTGCCGCCGCCGCCACCGCACCGCTGCTGCGATTGCGTCACTACCGCCGGCCTGGGTGGACCTATCACGCCAAGGGCCTCTGGCTGTGGCCCGCCGCGGCAGCCGAGGTGGTGGGCGGCGGCGTCAGGCGTCCGCAGGCCGGGGAGGGCGAGGCGCTGGCGGGCGGGGCGGGGGCGCAGGGCGACGCGGCTTGTTTTGATGCGTCGGGACCTGTCGCGACGCTCGTTGGCTCGTCCAACTTTGGGGAGCGCTCGGCGCGGCGTGACCTCGAGCTGTCTTGCGTCATCGTCGCCACTGACCCTGGAGTGCGAAGGCGCGCCACACGACGAGATCCAGCCGAGATCCACACGAGATCTATCCACTCGATGGCCTACGACAGGACTACGTTACGGCATTGGCCCTTCACCCCCAACCTTCCCCACCTACGGCGGCCGTAGGCTTCTTCACGATGAGGCGAGCGCGCTTCTCGCGCATAGCGAGCCGGCGGCGGAGGGGGGAGGAGCCGCGCCGCCCGGTTTGCTCGCCCGAGCGGCCGCGTGGATCACATGCAGAGCGCTGTGACACACTCTGTAACGTGTAAGCTGTGATCGAAGCTGTCCATACTGGTGTACTACTTGGTGCCCGAATTAGATTTTTGAGGCATGAGGGGCCCGCTGGCTCCTGGCACCGGCGCTGGGGGTCGCTGACGCTCGCGCGGGGTCGGAGAACTAGCATGGAAATTCCTATTAAACACACAACCCTCGCGCGCTCTCACGCGCACACGCGACACCTCTACCCCCCCTGCGCGCCCTCTGGCCGCGCCTGGGGAATGGGCAAAAAAATGGTAAATGCTGAAGCAGTGCGGGGCACGTGCCGCGCCTCGTGCCGCCTCCATGCAGGCGACGCGCGCGGCCTCTTGGACAATATACTCCGGCTCTGCGGGCAGGGCGCAGCTCGTCGTTGCCCATGCTTTGAATTGCCCCCCAGGAAGCGAGAAGTTGCACTAATGCAGCTCTATCTCGCCAAATCCAAGCGTCTTCTTTCTGCCCGGGAGAACGACAGTAACGTAGCTGTGCCTGAGCGCGTGCGGCCAGAGGGGGGGGGGGGGGACCTTAGCTAGCAGCGCCGCACACCACCATTCAAATGGGATTGATCGAGTGTGGTGTGCGGCGTGGCAGGATCTGCAGACGCACGTGGGTGCTGCGGCGGCGCACTGCGCGGTCACTGGCCCCCGCTTGATGACTGACCAAGCGAACGGTCCTCCACACTTCACCGCCTTGTCGCCAGCTGTCGCGCCGACCCAAATCTCGAAGCCCTTAAGGTACTTCTTGACCTTGGAGGCTTTGTTCTTGGTGTCGGGGGTCACAGTCACAGCGCTGATGGGTGTTGAGCTGGCCTGGCGTTAGGAGAGCGCGTGCTTAGCAGGGTTCTGCGGCGTTCGGTTGTGGCACTTTCCAACGCGTGCAAAGGGAGAGAGGGCGGAGGCGGCAAGCGAGTTGTGTGCTCGGAGCCTTGGCGGAGAACCACGGGCTGGTCTTCTTCCCCTTGCTCTTGCCAAAGGTGCGGCTATTGCCGTCGGCAGCCTTGGCCATGAACTACGAGGCACGTAGAGCGGTAAGAGCACGTACGGCGTGGAAGTGTGCGTGTGGGGGGGGTGGAGAGCACCTGATTGGCAAAGTTGTTGCTGTGGCCCGAGGACATCCTCGCACTGCCCCAAAGCAGCGGCAGCGATGGCGTCGGCGGCGATGGCGTCGGCGGCGGTGGCGTCGGCGGCGGTGGCAGCGGCGGCGGTGGCGGTGATGGCGACGGTGGAAGTGGCGGTGATGGCGACGGTGGAAGTGGCGGCGGCGGCGGTGGCGGCGGCGGCGGTGGCGGAGGCGAGGGCGGGGGTGGAGATGGGGCCGGCAGAGATGGCGGCGGCGGCGATGGAGGAGGAGATGGCGGCGGCGGCGATGGCGGCGGCGGCGATGGCGGCGGCGGAGAGGGAGGTGGTGGCGGAGACGGAGGCGGCGGTGGCGGAGACGGAGGTGGCGGTGGCGGAGGTGGGGATGGGGAGGGAGGCGGCGGAAACGGAGGGGGCGGCGAGGGGGAGCTCGGGACAAGGTCAAGATCGTACGAGTATGGATCGTCAGGCGCATCGCCGTCGTAAGAGTATGGTTCCGGCGATGGGCTCGGGACAGGGTCGAGCGGATCGTTCGGACCGGGAGAGGGCTCCGGCGAGGGCGCAGGTGAGGGCACAGGCGAGGGCTCTGGGAGTGGAGAGGGAATGGGATCCGGAAGGGGCGAGGGAAAGGGAACGGGGGACGGCTCTGGGGAGGGAGAAGGCGACGGCTCCGGCGACTCGTCGTAATATGGCGGAGAGGGAGGTGACTCGGCGTCGTACGAGTCTACGAAGGGGCCGCGGGCCGGTGAGAATACTGATGTTCCCATCGGACGGCCGACAGAGCTGCTGGCGATGCTCTCGTGTTTGCGGTGATATGCGGTGGCGTTATCTTCTAGGCCGCAGAAGTGGGAGGGGGTGGGGCAAATGGGTTGCGCACATGGCTCGGCATAGGACGACCCATCGTACGAGTAGTTTGTCGTCTCGGCTGCCAGCTCTACCCGCAGCCGGCGGCTGAGGCCGACCGGCAGCGCAATCGCGGATGAAGCCAGCAGCATCAGCAGCGTGCCAACAGTGAGGGGCGAGAGGCTCGACGCGACACACCGGGACGCGCTCGCTTATTTGTCCGTTTCAGGCAGCCGGGTTTCAATAGCAAAGCGTAGTAGCTCGCCTTTTGTCGTCGGTACGGGCCGGGTTTGAACGCCCAGACCTCTTTCTATTTTGAGTTGCACGAGAGAGTAGACGGAGCTGATTGACATTCCACAGGCAACCGCGAAGCAAGCAGGCTGCGCGACACAAGACAGACAGACAGACAAACAGGCAGGCTTGGGCGTGTCTGTTATCATGCGCCACGTCCGGTGTGGGTCTCGCAGACTCGTATGCCGAGTGTCCTGAGCAGCGCAGGTCTCTCCTCCGGGCCGTCAGCGTCGCGCCCATTCCCGGTCCCGTGGCCGGCACTTCGGGAGCGACTTCCCGCCGCGTCGCTGCGTGCGCCGGAGCTCGAGATCAAGGTGGGCCGGCTGCAGGAGGTGCGCTCGCGGCTCGAGCTCATCGAGGCGCTCCCGGGCGGAGAGTGCGGCTGCGTCTCGTGTTCCCCCGTCGAGATCCACCTACCTCGCCCTCGCCCTCACGTCTCCCTCCTTGTCTCACAAACATAGAGCACTTCTTCGAGCACTTGGAGCACTTGGAGTGCAGTCATCAACCGACAGAAAGAAAGAAAGAAGACAAGTGCTCCAAGACAGACAAACCCAAACGAGGGATGGGGGAGGAGGACAGGTCATCAACCGCACATCCAGGGCCGGGCACTTGGAGCACTTGGAGTGCAGTCGGAACCGCACATCCAGGGCCGGGGAGCTGAGAAGCGCACCCAGCGGGCCGGATGATTGGCATCGGGCTACGGGGCTAGAGAGCCCTGACCCCTAGGGGGGGTGCGAGTTCGCAGGGCCATAACACGGGTCTCCGAGGGTTAGTTCTGCTCTCCGGGTTTCCCCCAGCGGCGGAATTTTTCCCTCGCGCTGTGGGTCCCCCTAGCTGCGGCACTTGGAGCACTTGGAGTGCAGTCATTAACCGCACATCCAGGGCCAGGGAGCTCAGAAGCGCACCCAGCGGGCCGGATGATCGGGATCGGGTTGCGGGCAAGAGAGCCCTAGCCCCGGGGGTGCGCGTTCGCAGGGAAAGGGCCGTAAAGTAAACACGGGTCCCCGAGGGTTAGCTCTGCGCTCCGGGTTTTCCCCTACCTAGCAGCGGATCGCCCCCTCTACTCGGGGCTAGTAGACACCAGACACTATCACGACAACACACACATTCCTCACTGACATCACCGCTCGGAACCCCCCGTTCCGCGCACGGCACTTTTTGTCCTCGAGTACTTTTTTCAAAAGTACCCCCCCTTCCCAACCCGCTCGCTGTGCGCTGCGGCCCGGCTCTCATGCAGTGGAGCTACTCGCGCATTGCGTACGTGAGCATCCTCTTCTTCGTCGCCGGCGTCGCAGAAATCGGCGGCGGATGGCTTGTCTGGCAGGCCGTGCGCGAGCAGAAGCCGCGGTGGTGGGCGGTCGCTGGCGGTGCGGTGCTGGTGCTGTATGGGTTTGTGCCGACATTGCAGCCGCTGAACGATTTCGGAAGACTGTACGCCGTGTACGGCGGCGTCTTCATCGGCATGTCTTTCGTGTGGGGGTACCTCTTCGACGGGATTGTGCCCGACACCGGCGATTGGGTCATTCGTGCAAGGGGAATGGTGCCGTCGGCGCATCTTGTGGTGGCGTGCGCTCTCCTTGCGAGCGCGAATGCGTTTGGTCCCATTCCAGCGGCTGTGGACGGGCCAATGCGACCCGAGATCATCAGTAGCAATGGAGTGCTCAAGGCGGAGCTGCACCTTGGTTTGGTCGCATACCAAACGCATACCCTGACACAGCGCCTTGTGGGCTACAATGGGATCGTGGGTGGTCCTACGCTGCGCGTGAAGCCTGGCGATACCTTGCGACTCACAGTGATCAACGAGCTGCCTGCGGAGGCATGCTCGACCTTTCATCTCGCAGCGCTGTGGAACAAAAACCACGCGCCGTACCATACGTCCCTCCATGTGCATGGCCTGCACGTGTCCAATGGTCAGAACGACATCATCAACATCAACATCGCACCAGGCGGCCGCCACATCTACACTATCGACATTCCCAGCGATCATCAGGGCGGAACCCATTGGTATCACCCACACCCACATGGTGCAACATCCCTGCAGGCGGGTGGCGGGGCGCTGGGCTTCATCATTGTGGATGACCTGCCCGGCGACCTGCCTGCTGAGGTCGCCCTGCTGCCTGAGATTCCAATTGCTATCCAGTTCATCAATTTGACTTACCTGCAAACAGACTACAGCGCAACCTACGTGGAAAACTGCAAGGCCCTCTGTGAGCCCAAGGAGAAGCGTGGGCAGTGCGAAGAGGTCGTCTTTGGAAACGGACCGACAGCGGGCAGCTACAGCAACGACCTGACTAAGCTCGCCCCCGATGGGATGGAGTACGAGCACCTGCTGCTAAACGGAGTCGAGCAGCCCACCTTCAACATTGCTGCGGGACAGTGGTACCGCATGCGCCTCCTCTTTGTGCCAACACGCAGCCGGACCCTCGAGCCACAGCTGAGCGGCTGCGACTGGCAGCTTATTTCCAAAGATGGCAAGTACATCGAGGACGCACCGCGCGCCGTGCACTCCGGCTATATGTACTCCGGCAGCCGCGCCGATCTCCTCGTCCGCTGCCGCGAGGCGGGCTCGTACAGCTTTGTATCGTACAGCGAGTCGTCCACGTCGTCTCACTGGGAGGCGGGCGCCACACAGAAGCCGCCATCGCTCGCGCGGACGGGTGCGGATGCCATGGCGACCTTTATCGTGCACCCTTCGCCGCGGGCAGCAGCCAGGGATGTCGCGCCATTCACAGCACGCCGGCCGTGCTATTTGGCCGACCTGACCGACGCCAGGCCGGACCACACCACTTACCTCCTCCAGTCTGGCAAAGTGCCGCCAGAGTACGAGGGCAGGGAGCAGTGGGCGCCAGATCGGCCAGGCTGCTGCACAAACATCTCATACTACGCGATCAACGACGACCCTTTCTCAATCAGCTTCCTCGGCCCCGGCCCCAACGAGTACCTCGACCACATTCCGATTGGCTCGGTGTGGGAGGTCGACTATCTGGTGCCGCAAGTCCATCCGCTGCACATGCATGTCAACGCTTTTCAGATCATCGAGCTGCCGCCGATGGACACGCACTCGGACTACTTCCGCGTAGGGGACTACCACGACATTCTCCAGGTCCCCATCGCCGTCGCGTCGTGGGGCAAGGCGGTCCTCCGCTCGAACCTGGATCGCTTTACAGGCGAGATGCTCATCCACTGCCACTACCGCCACTCAGACCGCGGCATGGCCCTAGTCGTCAATGTTGTCGGCGACGAGGGCAGCATCAACAGTGTTCTGCCTGAATGCCGCGCCTGAGCAACGTGCATAAGGCCAGCCTCCTCCCTCCCTTCGCAGATAAAAATCCTGCGTGTGCCGCTCCTGCGCCTGTGTGCACATCCTGCCTTGATGTGCACGTCTACAACGCGTCTACCGGCCCGGGGGGTACCTGGACCAGGCCCCGGGGGATAAACACAACCCCCTTTTTGTTGCAGCTATAGAATGGTGAAATTTCTTGGAATCGAAGTGTATGGATTTTCCGAGAACCAGGAAATCTCGGCTTAATTCCCTTGAGGCAGGGGCCAGGGCGACGCAAGCGAGGGGGGCGTGGGTGGGACTGTGAGGCGGTGGTATTGTGCGGCGGCAGGCGGGACCTGCAAGAAGCGGTCACGGATGGAGGGGCAGCGTCGTGGCGCTGCTCGGCGTGGCGCTCGTGCTCTTCTGGCCACGCGAGGGCGCTGAGCAGGTAGTCGAGCCGCTCTTGTAGACTTGCGTCAGCGCGCGTGTACATTTATAAGATTCAGCAAGTTTTAAGGGACGGGGTGTCGTGTACGTGAGATCACCGGCCAACAGGCTTAATTGAGAAAACGTGCACCGCGGGGACACGCCCCCCCTCTGCGGACCCCTCTCTACGTCCACCATGAAAAAGATAGTGGGACCAGAGGCAGAGTATGTGAGTCCTGCTGAGTGTGGATCTACTCTCACTTTGGCTGCTGTCCTCCTCTTGTAGTGTCATAAGTCCAGTGTGGCTGGTGTGTCAGAGCCCGACCAGCTCACCCCGACAGCACCACCGACAGCACCACCGACAGCACCCGACAGCACCGGCCCCACGCCTGACAGCAGCAGCAGCCTGACAGCTCTGATAGCTCCGACAGCGTCCGACAGCCACACCCGACAGCTCCGACAGCACCCGACAGCACGGGAGGACCTAGCGATGTCAGACAAGCACTGGCAGCACTGGCAGCACCTGACAGCACCCGCACACAGGGATTTTAAGGAGAGGCGTGTGGTGCTCCGTCGCCCACCCTCGGGCGTCTGCCTCTTCCTATCTCTTCGCAGTCTTTCGCCAATAGGCCAATTATCGCAGCGACCTTCATGCCGCCTCGCGGTCTTCCCACTCACGTCGTTCTCTCTCCTGCCACCTGCCGCTTCATCCTCTGACTCATCGCTCTCCTCGGCCTCGTTCTGTCTGCGACGCCGCCTGCCGATGCCTTGCTGCTCTCGCGGCTTCTCTCGCCTCTCGGCGTAACTCCGCTCGTGCTTGAATTGTGAGACTTCTTTTCGCAAGGCACGGGACTGGTGTTAGTGCCAGTGCGCGCCACAGTCCCGTGCCTAGTGTTGTGAGAGGGGCACTTGGAGCCTTGGCGTGGAATTCCGCTCTTCGTGCCAGTGCGCGCCAGTCCCGCGTGCCCCATGTCCATGTTGTTGTGCGAGGGAATGACTAATAAAATTTAAAATGTTTTTCGCGTGTTAGTGCCAGTGCGCGCCAGTCCCGTGCCCAGTAAATAAAAGAAAGAAAGAAAACAGAGAACCCAAGGGAGGGAGGGATGGGAGGACGGCACGCCCCCACCACACAGGGATTTTAAGGAGAGGAGTGTGGTGCGCTAGCCGTCGCCCCCCCTTGGGCGAAAAAGAAAGAAAGCACACAACCCAGACGAGGGATGGGGGGAGGACAGGGTCCCTACCTGCACGAGCAGGATTTTGGAAGGACGATCAGGGACACAGGGGAACGGGAGTGGGGAGCGCATCGCGACACGGAGGGGGGCTGGGCAGGGTTCACCCACACGACAGGGTCCCAGGGATTCCCCTCTCGTATAGGACAAGTTGCACCCGGCGGCACGGGGGCAGGCGCGGGCCTCCTACTGGTTGACCGCTACAACCAGGTAGGTAGGTAGGTAGAAAGGTGAAGAACAGCCAGGCTCGGACTGGACACCAACGCGGTATGGGTGGACGCAAGACAGATGATGACGACACGCACGAGCGACACACAGACACAAACAAGCTCACAAGACACACAGCCAGCTGGCTGCCACACACCCTGAGTTGGCGTACACATAACTCAGGGCCACATTCCTCCTGTCGCCCCCCCCAGCACTCCAAGGTGCCAAGAGAAACAAACAAGGGCACAACATCACAACAGACGACAGGAGGTAATATGCGAGGCTAGAGCAGGCTTGCTCCACCTCTAGCAATCTCGCCGGCCGGCGAGGCACGGACGAGACCGTGTGTGGGGTTAGTGAGGTGTCTATGGTCGCCCTCCTCACGGGCTAGCCGCCAGCGGCCAGCCCTATCTCGCACTCACTGGCGGTGACAATTCAATGTGTGAGTGTTAGCGAACAGAGGCACGTGTGCTAATTCTAGGCCATACTCGAGCGCTCGCGCACGACGAATTCTTTTGGAGCATTCTGTCTGCAGCCGGCGCCGCCCTCTACTCGAGTAGCCATTCAGCCGCCTCATTCAGCCGCCTCCGCGCGCGCAGCCAGAGTTTTAGAGCCCGAAAATGGCCAGCGGCGCGCGGCCAGCCTTGCCGGGCGGTCACGACCTTGGCGAACAGCTGTACTTTACGGGCTCGAACAAGTCGTTTGAGAGTGGCGATAAGCTCGTGCACGGCCAGCAGGGCGAGGTCGTCGGCCCTGCGACCGGCGAGCACCACGGCAACGGCCTGCAGATGCTGTTTCCGGGGAACAAAGGCTCCATAAACTGCTATCTGTACCAGTTCAGCGTCGAAAAGCCGCCGCCTCTGCCGGGCGGTCACGAGCTTGGCGACCAGCTGTACTTCACGGGCTCGAACCAGACGTTTGAGAATGGCGAGACGCTCGTGCACGGCCAGCAGGGCGAGGTCGTCGGCCCTGCGACCGGCGTGCACCAAGGCAACGGCCTGAAAGTGCTGTTTCCAGGGAACAAAGGCTCCATAAACTGCCGTCTGCTCAGGCTCAGCGTCGAAAAGCCGCCGCCTCTGCCGGGCGGTCACGAGCTTGGCGAACAGCTGTACTTTACAGGCCCGAACTATTCATTTGAGAATGGCGATAAGCTCGTGCACGGCCAGCAGGGCGAGGTCGTCGGCCCTGCGACCGGCGAGCACCACGGCAACGGCCTGCAGATGCTGTTTCCAGGGAACAAAGGCTCCATAAACTGCCGTCTGCTCAGGCTCAGCGTCGAAAAGCCGCCGCCTCTGCCGGGCGGTCACGAGGCCGGCGACCAGCTGTACTACACGGGCCCGAACAAGTCGTTTGAGAATGGCGACAAACTTACGCACGGCCAGCAGGGCGAGGTCGTCGGCCCCGCGACCGAGGGCACACACCAAGGCAACGGCCTGAAGATGCTCTTTCCGGGGAACAAAGGCCACGTAGACTGCTCTCTGACCAAGCTCGTTCGCGAGAAGCCGCCACCTTTGCCGGGCGGTCACGACCTTGGCGACCAGCTGTACTACACGGGCTCGAACCAGACGTTTAAGAGTGGCGATGAGCTCGTGCACGGCCAGCAGGGCGAGGTCGTCGGCCCCGTGACCGTGGGCACACACCAAGGCAACGGCCTGCAGATGCTGTTTCCGGGGAACAAAGGCCACGTAAACTGCTCTCTGCTCACGCTCAGCCGCGAGCAGCCGCCGCCTCTGCCGGGCGGTCACGACCTTGGCGAACAGCTGTACTTTACGGGCCCGAACGAGTCGTTTGAGAGTGGCGATAAGGTCGTGCACGGCCAGCAGGGCGAGGTCGTCGGCCCTGCGACCGGCGAGCACTACGGCAACGGCTTGAAGTTGCGGTTTCCGGGGAACAAAGGCTCCATAAACTGCTATCTGTACCAGTTCAGCGTCGAAAAGCCGCCGCCTCTGCCGGGCGGTCACGAGCTTGGCGAACAGCTGTACTTTACGGGCCCGAACTATTCATTTGAGAATGGCGATAAGGTCGTGCACGGCCAGCAGGGCGAGGTCGTCGGCCCTGCGACCGGCGTGCACCAAGGCAACGGCCTGAAGCTGCTCTTCCCAGGGAATAAAGGCCCCATAAACTGCCGTCTGCTCAGGCTCAGCGTCGAAAAGCCGCCGCCTCTGCCGGGCGGTCACGAGGCCGGCGACCAGCTGTACTACACGGGCCCGAACAAGTCGTTTAAGAATGGCGACAAACTTACGCACGGCCAGCAGGGCGAGGTCGTCGGCCCCGCGACCGAGGGCACACACCAAGGCAACGGCCTGACGATGCTCTTCCCAGGGAACAAAGGCTCCATAAGCTGCTATCTGCCCCGGCTCAGCGTCGAGCAGCCGCCGCCTCTGCCGGGTGGTCACGACCTTGGCGACCAGCTGTACTACACGGGCTCGAACAAGTCGTTTGAGAATGGCGATAAGCTCGTGCACGGCCAGTCGGGCGAGGTCGTCGGCCCCGCGACCGACTTTCACCAAGGCAACGGCCTGAAGATGCGGTTTCCAGGAAACAAAAGCTGGGTAGACTGCAGACTCGCCTTGCTGTCCCACGAGCTGAGCCTGCCCGGTGGCTTCAGAGTGGGAGAGGAGCTCTACTTTATTGGCGGAGGGTTCGTCGACGAGCAGGGGGACAAGGCCGTGTTTGGCTGCCGAGGATCGGTCACCGGCCCCGCCCGCAACGGCGACGCTGACGCTGTTTCCATGTCTTTCTCCGGCAACCGAGGGGACGTGCACTGCCGGGCCGAAGAGCTCAGCCGCGAGCCGGCGCCCTCGCTTCCTGGCGGCTTCATTCTCGGCGAGCATCTCTACTTCACCGGAGAAGACCAGATCGTCGGGCGCGGCATCCTCGTGCGCGGCTCGCGTGGTGAGGTGGTGGGCCTGGGTTTGGAGCCGGACAGCCTCGCGATGCGCTTTTCGAACAAGGTCTTGTTTTCCGGTAACCAGCCGGTCAACATCGCCTCCCTGAGCCGCGACGATCCGTGCGCCGTGTCGTCCGTGCCCGAGAATGTATTGCGAGCGCGCCGAGCGCTCGCCGCGCGCAGGGAGGAGCAGGAGCGGGCTGCGGCAGCGGCGGCGTCGCAGACGGCAGAGGACATTGCAGCGGAGGCGGAGCGGCGGCAGCAGCTGGCGGCGGAGCTCCTGGAGGAGGAAGCTGCGGCCAGGGCTCCGCCTCCACTTCAGGAGGCGGGACGGAGGAGGAGGAGGAAGAAGAAGCAGAGCGGCTTTCGCGGGTCGAGGAGCAGCGCAACCGAAGGAGCAGAGGGATCGGCCGACTGCGGCGACTCCACCTCTAGGGCGGCGCCAGCGCGCGAGTCGGCTTCAGGGAGCGACGAGGAGCGCGTGACGCCAGCCGAGGAGGCGCGACGGGCGGAGGAGTCGGAGCGGGCGGCGCAGCGAGAGCGGCAGGCGAGGCTGCTCGAGGCAGCGCGGCGGGAGAGGGAGGAGCGTTTGGAGAGGGAGGCTAGGGCCGAGGCCGCGGCCGCGGCTGCGGCGGAGAGCGAGGCTCGCGGCAGGCGACAGCAGGCGGCGCGAGCGGCGGAGGAGGAGCGGAAGCGAGCAGCGCGGGCGGCGCTGGTGGACGAGATGGAGGCGCAGGCGCGGCAGGAGGAGGCGGCGCGGGCCGCGGCACCGCTGAGGACGTCACAGGCTGAGCAGTCCAGCACGCGGTCGGCGATCGAGCAGGCGCTCTCCCAGGCTAGGTCCGACGCGCTGGCGGCGAGGGCTCGCGAGGCGACGGCGGGGTCAGAGGCGGAACGGGCGGGCTCAGAGGCGGAACAGGCGAGGTTAGAGGCGCAACAGGCGAGGTTGCAGCTTTTGGCGGCGAGGGCGAGGGAGGAGGAGGCGAGGGGGCGAGAGGGGGAAGCAAGGGGGCGGGAGGAGGCGGCGAGGGCAGAGGCGGAGGCGGCGACGGCACGCGAGGAGGCGCTCACCATGCGACTCGCGGCGCTAGAGCTAGGCCCACCGGCCGCCCCGCCACCGACAACCGCAAACAACGCTGTGGGAGGAGGCGTCGGAGGCATCTTCCACGGCGCTACGCTGCCGCAGAAGGTCTCGCGGATCTGTGCGCATTTGGGGCTGGACGCGCGCTCCTCGCTCTCTGCGGCGGTGGCGGCGGCGAACGAGAGCACAGGGGTCGCCGCTGAGGGAGGGCTTCTGCAGCAGGTGGACCGGCTGATCGCGCTGCTATTTGGGGGGCCGCAGGGGGGCGCTCAGGAGGAGGTAAGGTAAGGTCTCTAAGAAAGCCGTACGGCTCTAAGGTAAACTTCTCCACACACACAAGGTGGTGGGGGGCGAAGGGTCAGGCGAAGGGGGGGCGCGGCCCTCGCGTCTCGGAGAGGAGTGCAGGAGTCAAGAACCGACGTCCAAAACGGTAAACGCAAGGAAGAATCGGAGCTATGACGAAGAACGACCGGGAGCGGGACGCCGCACGCCGGCCTCGCTAATGAAATTTACGTGTAGGCGTAGAAAGAAAGAAAGAAAGAAAGAAAACACACAACCCAAGGGAGGGATGGGAGAACGGCACGCCGCCACCACACAGGGATTTTAAGGAGAGGAGTGTGATGCGCTAGCCGTCGCCCACCCTGGGGAGTCTGCCTCTTCGTATCTCTTTTCGCAGTCTCTCGCCGCTTCTCGCTGCAACCTTCATGCCACCTCGCGGCCGTCCCACTCTCGTCGGTCTCTCCCTTGTCACTTCCTCCTCTGTCGCGTCGTTCTCTTCTGCCTCGTCCTGCGACGCCGCCGCCTGCCGGTCCCTTGTTCTCGCGGCTTCTTTCGCCTTGCGCAACTCCGTCCTCCTTGCGGCGTATCCTGGCCCCTCGAGTCTATCGAGCTCCCCTCGCGCAAGGACCACATTTCTGACTCCCACTCCGATCATTTGTCTACAGGTCATGTTGTTGCTCAGGTCCACTCTCTCTTCGAACACTCGTGCCTCTACGGATGATGCCGGCGCTGGAGTCCCCTTCGGATGCATCGTGACATCTGACAACTGAATTTCCACTGGTTCGTCCTCCTCTGAGTCATCTTCCCCGTCCTCCTTCCGCTCGGCTCTTCGCTCGGTACGTTCGGTGTGGCTCACCCTCCATGCCGTGAACAGGCGCTTTATCCACCCTATATTCTTCTCTCGTTCCTCTGCCCGTGCCTTGGTCTTGTCGTTGTTTCGCACCCATGTCTGTATGGCAATCGAGGCTGCCTTCCCCACTACCTGTAGTTCACTCGTCACCTCTCCCGCGAGCTCCCTTCTCTTTCTTTCGGGTATGGAGTCCGTGAGTGCGGGTAGCGTGCAGGCAATCACGGGTGCTATTTTGTCGTACTCCTCTTCGGCGAGCGCCCCAAATCTAGACCCTTTCGCCTTTAAGGAGGCTGCCCTCGCTCGTCTCAGGAATGTGGCGGTGTCTTTTGAGTCCGGCGCCTCCCGTTCAATTCTTGCTGTCGCCCTCGCTGTGTGTTTGTCGAGCTTCCGCATGAAGTGACGCGCCTCTTCCTTATTTCCAGCGCAGCTGCCGCTCAGTATATGCGCCAACGACGCCTGTGGTGGCTCACTGTCTTCTTGTTTCCAGTCGTCCCAGTCTTTCAGTTCCCCGCGTCTCCTCCTTGCCTCGCGCGCCTCTTTTGCGACCTCATCCCTAGCCGCTTTGCACGCTCTGCATCCCCAGAACGCACTTCTCGTGGCGGGGCCCCTCATTCCCCGTTTCTTTTCCCCCTCTAGAATACGTGGTGTGCCCCATGTGGCACCCCGACCTGTTGTCTCACCCTGGCCCCCAAGATCGTTTTGGTCGTCACATTGTGATCCCCGACGTCGTCAAATGTCGCCCGCCTGTCCTTCCCCCCGTTCTCGTCTGGTAATCTCATCTTATTATCCCATCGATGCTTGAGGCTGGCTACTGCCACTTCGCTCCACAACCGTCCCGCCACCCCTGCCGTGTGCGACCCCGGCCTCACTGTCTTTCGATATTGCTCGCACACCCACTCGTGCGCGCTCTTACACATGTGTCCGTACGTCCGTCGGTCCACTATCTCCCTCTTCTACGTGTAGGCGTGCGATGTCCTGATCGCTGGCAAAAATTCTTTTTTCGCAAGCCCACAGCGACGAGGCTCCCGCTGGCGCCGCCCGTCTCGCTGCAACCGAGCAAGATCTGCCCACCCATCCCGCCTTTGCCACGATGCTGCGGAAGCAGGCGCGGATGCGGCGCGAGTACATGCAGAAGCGGGCGGCGGACGCAAAGGAAGCGTCGACCGCCGACCGCAAGCGCAAGCTGCGCACTGCCGTCGATGAAGGCCGTACGGTGCCGACAGAATTGCGCGGCGAGGCGGACGCGCTGCTCGCCGAGATGGAGCTGAACGGCGCGCCGGGGCCAAGCTCCTCCACCCCCGACCTCGACTCCGAGTACGCGAGCGCGGGCGTCGCCGACCCGCGGATCCTGCTCACGACCTCGCACGACCCCAGCTCGCGGCTGGTGCAGTTTCTCAAGGAGATGAAGCTGGTCTTCCCAAACACGTCGCGGATGAACCGCGGCGGCCACACCGTCAAGCAGATCGTCGAGACCTGCCGCGCCGACGGCTTCACCGACTTGGTCGTGCTGCAAGAGCACCGTGGCGTGCCCGACGGGTGAGAGTGCCGCCTCTCCCGGACGCCTCGGCCGCAGCCTCCTCCGCGCGACGGCCGCTGCCGCTGCGCCCCCAAACCCGCTGTCCAGCACTCCCCCTCCTGGCTCCCACGCGTCTGGATGCCGCTCGCCCCTGCGCCCCTGCGCCACTGCTGCCCTCCCCCGTCCCTGCGCCTTCCACTGCTGCCGTCCCCCGTCGCCGCCCCTCACGCTCACCGCCCACACCCCTCCGGTCGGGCAGGCTCGTCGTGTCGCACATGCCCCACGGGCCCACCGCCTACTTCGGCCTCGCCAACGTCACCATGCGCCACGACATCGAGGGCGCGACAAACATGTCCGAGGTGCCCTCTCCCTCTCTCCTCTCTCCCCCCTTTTTCCTCCTCCTCTTCCTTTTTTTCCTTTCCCTGGCTGGGTGGGTGGGTCCCCCCCCCCCTTCCCCCCCCCCCCCCCCCCCCTCCCCACCTTCTGAACCCTCCCCTAAGCCCTCCCCAAGCCTCCCCAAGCCCTCTCGGAGCCTTCTCGGAACCGCCTCGCAGGCGTACCCGCACCTTGTGATCGACAACCTGACGAGCAAGGTTGGCGCGCGGGTGGCGACGATCCTGAAGCGCGCCGCGCCGCCGCTCGAGAAGAGCGCCGAAGAGACCCCCCCGCGAGGACCCGAACCCTCGCCCACGAGCGCAGGCACCTCTTCCCGGTGCCCAAGCCCGACTCCAAGCGCGTCGTCTCGCTTGTCAACCGCGCCGACCTGCTCTCCTTCCGCCACCACGTGTACGCAAAGGAGAAGGCGGACGTCCACCTGTACGAGGCGCCAGCGTCCCGCCGAGATTGCGCCGAGATTGCATCACGGGTCGCCGAGGAGGCCGGCCCGCCACTCCGACCAGCCGCCGGCCGGCTCGCGGTGATCAGCCTGCACGCCCGCCGCACCGCGCCGCACCGCCCGCGATCGTGCGCATTTGTGTCGCTTTCCGCCCGCCCGCGTGCGGTTCGTCGCGCCGCGCCGCGACGCCCTCGTGGCCTCAGCAATCGGCCTCACCGGACCTCAGGTTGGGCCGCGGTTCGACTTGCGGCTCTACCAGATCAAGCTCGGCACCATCGACCAGGAGGAGGTGGAGAACGAGTGGGTCTTGCGGCCGTACATGAACACGGCGAGCAAGAGGAGGGCGCTCTGAGGGACAAAATCCGGTTGTCGCTCGCGGCGGGCGGAGCGCGGAGTGTGGAGTTGCGGCACACACAGGCGATTTTTGGGCTGGGAGCTTATTTACAAATTCCCGTGTGTACGGGGTGTGGAGGGTGAGTTGAACAAGGGGTTGTGCGCCGGGCCCTCCTGCTCGGCTCCAGCCCCTGTTGATAGGTCCAGGTGATAGTCCTGGATGGGCAATGCATACGCCTCACACTGGGCCTTAGAGATCGCCCGACCGCGTCCCGGTGCTCTCTGCCGTCGGATTTGTGACTCCGCCGCACCGCGCTGCGGCCGGGGGCCGCCCCCTCCGGAGGCCGAGGATGGCCGTGACGGACCGGGACGAGCTCTGGGAGGTTCAGTGTCAGTGTATATATTGTAGAGACCAACCATGTCCACAATATCTCTCAGTCTAGCTAAGCCTGGGAAGGCGATGCCGGGGCCGTACAGCAGCTTGATGCAACATGCATGCCACCGAAGGGGCGCTGTCGAGGTTCGCCGAGCGCGGCGAAATCCGGGGACACCGTCACCGACGAGCGCGTTTGAGTATTCACTCCGGACAAAGACGGCCGCACGCACACGAGCTGCGGTCGTGCGGCCGTCATAGCGGCGAGGCGCGGGACCGTCTGTGGCGAAGTGGGTCGCGAGGCCTTTGACGAGCGGGGTGCCGACGTGGCGGCGAGGCATGCGGCGACCGGGGCGACGACGGTGATGCACGCGGCGGGGGCGGGGGCCGCCGACGCAGTCGACTTCCTGCTGAACCACGCGAAGGCGCGCGGCCTCTCCCGCCTCGTCGACGCCGGAACGAGCAAGCTCGGCATCACTCCCCTCGACCGCGCCGTCCGCTGCGGCCATGCGGACGTTGTGAGGCTGCTGCTCCGCCACGACGCGAGCGTCGCGGTGGCACGCTCCTCGGGCTGCACGCCGCTGCACGCCGCCGCGGAGATGGGGCGGTGCGAGTGCACGGCCGCTGCTCCAGGCCGGCGCGGATGTGGATGCGGCGAACCACGACGGCGCGACGCCGCTGCATCTGTGCGCGAGCGGCTTCACGCTCTTTGGCTCGCAGGCGGGCAAGGCCGACGTGGCGAGGCTGCTGCTCGGCCATGGTGCGAGGCGGGACGTCCGCAACCGAGACGGGCGCACCGCACTCGACGTCGCCGCCGCCGAAGCCAACGCCGCTGTGGCCGCGCTGCTGGAGGGGGAGGGTGTGGATAGGTTGAGATTCGCCAAGTTTACAACTCAAGTCTTCCGGAGAGCATTTTTCCAAAAGCCCCAACGGTCCCGAGTTCGCCGTCGAAGGGGCAAGGGACGTGTCCAACGATCGCCGGACGCCGCGCCACGAAGCACCCTCACCGATTGCGGCGAGGCGGCGCGTTCTGCTGCAAAGCTGGCTCCGCTCTGTGCGTGGCGATGCAGGGGGGGGGGCCTGCGCACGTTCCGAGGAACAGGAGGCTCTCCCCCTCCCCCGGCCCGAGCAGCTACGCATGTGGAAGGCAGCCACCGCCGCCGCCGCCGCCCGCACCGCCGCCCGCGCAACGCCGCCGCCCCCCAACGGAATCCCGCCCCCAACGGAACACCCGATGTGTGAGTCGGAGTGAGTGAGTATTCACACACACACAATCACACAATCACACAGACACAGACACAGACACACACACACAGACACACACGATGATTAATAATTAATAACGGCGTCTCTGTCGGCACTAGGGGGGGTACTACGCGAGTACGCCGACATGCCACTCTTGCTCGCCGCCGCCGCCTCGCCGAGCGCGTCTGGCGAAGCTGGCACTGTGTGCGCCGACATTGTCGGCCCGCTGCAGGCGCAAGTCGCGGCGCAGGCGCGCCAGATTGCGGCGCTGGAGAACAAGCTTGCCGAGGGTGCTGCGCACAGACGAGCCCTCCCAGACTGGTACACCTACCTCTACGAGTATGACACGCCGCCGCCGCCTCCACCGTCGTCCCGGCCGAATCCCCGCGCGGCGCCGCCGTTGCCGCCTCCGCCGCCGCCCGTCCCCCTGGCCGGCTCTCCCCCACCTCCGCCTCCGTGTTGCGCGTGCTCGGGGCCGCCGCCGCCATCGCCGCCGCCATCGCCGCCGCCATCGCCGCCGCCATCGCCGCCGCCATCGCCGCCGCCATCGCCGCCGCCATCGCCGCCGCCGTCCCCTGCGCCGCCATCGCCACCGGCGGCGAGCCCGCCCTCGTGCGCTGAGGTGCCCAACTTCACTCCGTGTGACCCCTGCCAGTCGGACGCGCCCCTCGTTGCGCCGCCGGGCGCGGCCGCCTCTTTCGTGGTTCGGCAACACGTGAACATCTGCGGCGCCACGCGGGGCTCTTTCAGATACCACGTGTGCGTGGACGGAGAGTGCGTCCCCTTTGATAACTACGCGTGCCCGATTGTCGGCCAGTACAAAACCACGGACATCATGGAGTTCCCCGACATTGGGACACCCATGCCGGGCCCGTGCAACGGCAAGGTGTGCACGGCGTGCGAATGGTGCCACGACGTGAGCAGGTGCACGCCCTTGGGTGAACCCCCTTAGCGGCCGGGTGCGAGACCCTGGCTCGGCGCCCGTCGATAGAGATACCCTTTTTAGGAATGAGTTCACAGAAATGTAATGAAAGCGTCGAAAATGTCGCACAAAAAGCGCCTCGAGTTTTTGTTGCAGCGGTTCCCCACAGCCGGCGCGCGCTGCCAGGACGCACCGCTCGCGTGTCGCGTGTCGGCGGCATTCCCTCCCTGGCATCCAGTGAGTGCCGCGAATCGACCAGACTAGGATCGACGCAGCGCTTGCTGTGGGGCTGCAACAAACTAGCCCAGGCAAAATACGTGCTTTCTGTGGCCGCACTGCTGGGGGGAGGGTGTGGATAGGTTGGGAGGCGCCTCTTTTACAACTCAAGTCTCAAGTCCTCTGGAGAGCATTTTCCAAAAAGGGTCATAGAGCAGACATCATCCTGGGGAGATTGGGCGACAACCCGACGGGCAGACCCCGCCCCGCTCGCAGGGCGTGCACCACACAGCACACAGGCATATAAAAGAAAGAAAGAAAGAAAACGTACAACCCAAGGGAGGGATGGGAGGACGGCACGCCGCCACCACACAGGTTTTGTTGCGCTTACCTGTGTTGGCTGCCGTGCCCGGCCCAGGCCGACCATCAAAACGCCCTGCTATTTTCTTTCGTGAAAAGGTATCTTTTTTTTGTTGGGGGGGACGGACGACGACCAGCAGCGATGTGGGGCACTTCTTCCTCTGCCCGTGCCTTGGTCTTGTCGTTGTCTCGCACCCATGTCTGTATGGCAATCGAGGCTGCCTTCCCGGCGAAGCACCATCAAGCTGCTGTACGGCCGCGGTATCGCCTCCCCTGGCTTAGCTAGACTGAGATATATTGTGCACAAGGTTGGCCTCTACAATATATACACTGACACTCTACCTCCCAGAGCTCGTCCCGGTCCGCCACGGCCATCCTTGGCCTCCGGAGGGCCCCCGGCCGCGGCGCGGTGCGGAGGCGTCACAAATCCGACCACAGAGCACCGGGACGCGGTCGGGCGATCTGAGGTCCAACTAGGCGTATGCATTGCCCATCCATGGCTATCACCTGGACCCATCAACAGGCGCCTGCGGCGCCGTGGTCACGAGGTGTTGTTCACACCTGGGCAAGCATTCATGCAGCACAGTAACGAAGGGAACACTTGACGGTCGCGGCCTTCCGACTCGCGCCTCCGCCTCACTGGCACTATTGTAGCCCTGGCCGGTGCGCGTGTGAAGTTTAAGTTCCGGAGTAAAAATTCGAACGCGTTCTCCCACGGTGACAAAAAATGTCCACCTCAGAGGCACCTCCGGAGGCAGGCCGCCGCACGCCGGCGACACAGCTCCAGCTGTCGAACTGACCCGCAGCTCCTCTCAGAGCGGGAACTGTGACAAAAGTTGACTGAGGCGGTTGTCAGGAACCATCATACGGATCACATGGTGGCTCTCTCATGACGGGAGACCGACCGACCACTCCTGGGTGGCACTGCCACCGGTGTCGCTCGACGTCCTGTCGACAGCGTGCCGACAGCGACACAGACCATGTGGGACGCGTCGAGTATCGACCTCTACTGCTTACCCAGCCTTCGAGTGTATCCTGGCTGTGGCCCCACACCCACTGGTGTCCATCTCAGAGACCGCAGGAGGTCATGAGGGTCGACGGGAGTGCCAACCCCACAATGCCTAAAAACCCAGCCCAGTACAGCTTTTCTGGTTAACCGCCGGTACGTACCGTCTGCGGACGCGGACCCGTGCGCTACCCTCGCGATATACGTGTGTCGATGTGTCCTCGCCGCTGTGCGCTGTCCGAGCTGACGCGCGGGAAAATGGAAAATGGTGTGCGTCGGTGTCGGGGGCACACGCGTCAAGCCACAAGGGATCTTGCTCGGTCGGCAGGCTGCAGGCTGGCCTATCTAACCAAGGCGGGAGAGGCGCGCGGCCGACCGGGCGAACCGCCCACTCACGCCGCGGCGGCCGCAGGAGCCACCCTTGACTGCGCCAGCTTCGAGGCGGGCGCCGCCCCTGCCGCCTTGTCGGCGGGCGGCTCGACCGGCGCCGCGGCGCCCTCCGCATCGGCAGAGGCGGCCTCCGCCGGCTTTGCCGCCGCCGCCTCCCCCTCCGCACACGCCGCCGCCTCCCCCCCCTTGGCTGCCGGAGCCCCCTCGGCGGCCGCCTCTGCCGCCGCCGCCTCCCTCTCGCCCTCCGAACCCTCCGCCGGTGCCGGTGCCGCCGCCGGTGCCGCCGCCGCCTCCGTCGCCGCCTCTGCTGCCTCCGCCGCCGCCTCTGCTGCCTCCGCCGCCGCCGGTGCCGCCGCCGCCGCCTCGGCGGCGCCCGCCGCCGGCGCCTCGCCCTTGGCAGCCGCCTCCGCGGCCGCCGCCGCCTCGCGTGCCGCCTTTGCGGTCTCCTCCGGCGTCTTGGCGTCCCCCTTGTGCGCGGCAGAGGCAAAGGCGATGAGCGAGGGGGAGGAGCGATCCCCAGTGTACCTGATGGGGCCGCGGGGCACGTGCGGAGGAGGCGGCGGCGGCGGTGCGGTGCTGGCCGCCCATTCGTGTCGCGGCATTCTCGCGGTGGTGGCGCCGGGCCCCGGCCGTGCTCTCTGCCGCGGGGCGGGCTGGTGCTTGTGCGCGCACTCGAGGTGGTTTCCACCGACAACAAACCGCACAGTCGGCAGCGCCTGCACCTGCAGCGCCTCCGCGATGAGGGCGCCGCCGGCGATCGCCTGTGATAGGGCACGTCACTCGCCTTTGGACGGTGTCTGTATGGAAGAAAGGTGTTTTGGGGTAGAAAGGTGTCTCGCCTGCAGGTTGAGCGCGCCGACGCGGACGCCCGAAGGCTTGAGCGCCGTCGCCGCCTCCTTGAAGGCGCCAACCATCGACTTGCAGTGCGCGCACGCATGCCTACGTCATGAACACACCAATCAACGTCGGGGCGTGTCGACGGTATCGTGCGGTGGAGCACCGCTCGAAGACAAGGGCTACTAATGCAGAGGCTACAGCTGGATGCGTGCACGGATCTGCACTGCGCATCTAGGCACGCGTTCCCGTAGAAGGCGACGAGCACGCCCTCCTCGCCGCTGAGCCACTCCTGTCCTCGGACGCGGCGGCGGTGGGCAATGCCGCGGCGGGGAAGAGAGGCAGCGGCGAGGAGAGAGGCAGCGGCGAGGAGTGAGGCAGTGGAGGAGTGGTGCTCGCCTTTGCGTCGTCGAGGGACAGCTCGGTCACGTCCGAGCCGGCAAATTCGGACGCGTCCGCCATCAGCTGCTTCTGCAGCTCCTCGACCGTCTTGACCTGAGCCTCCACCCCAATAGCACTGAAGGCCGCCTTGAGCCTCGCCATTGCCTCCTCGGGTCCCTGCGCGACGGCGCTCTCGCCCTCCGCCGCCACACGCTGGACCACGGCGCTCGCCTCCTCGCGACTGGCGCCCGCCTCCACCAGCACGCCGACCAGCTTCTCCTCTGCGACACCCTCGGCCGCTGAGACCACTAGCACGTGCGACAGCCCGGCGGCGGCGGCTGGCGCCGCCTCGGGCGCCGGCTCAGCCGGCTGACCGGCGCGCCGGAGCGCCGCGGCGTCGGCGCCGAGCGCCAGGCACGAGAGGATGAGGGAGCCAGCGAGGCGATGCATCATTCGAGGAGCCGTAAGCGAGGCGTGCGGTGCGGCGTGTGCGGCGTGTGTGTGCGGCGTGTGCGGCGTGTGCGGCGTGTGGTGACGCAGATCGGGCTCTCAAAAAAAAGAAAAACAGGTCGCTTACACCTCCCGAGAGGCCGAAATTAGGGCGATCGGTCTGTCGCTCGCGGCCAGCACCGGCGTTCTCAGGCCAGTGCAGACGCGGGAAGTGCGGAGCCTGGCAAGACGACTGGTTGGCTCGACGGACCTTCTTGGACGGGTTTTCCGTTGGGAGGGGGGAGGACTACCTCGTCAACGACATTGCACCGGGGCCGACACAGTCGGGGGTGCAAGCGATGAAGGCGTACGCCTGCTGTGTGAAGAGGCGGGTGGCATCGGCGGGCCCGCTATCCGAACACAACTCGGCCTTTGATATCCGGTCAGTGTGGGACCGAATCGAGAGGGACCGGGTGAGGGGGGAGGCGACGCGACTACTGCGCAGTCTACGGCCTGATGCGGGGCGGGGGGGGGGGGGAGAGGCGGAGCCGTCGGCGAATCCGGGCCCTGCCCCCCCCGCCTTCCCGAGGGGAGACGAGAGCTAGGCCCCCCCCCACGAGCGGGGTGGACGGCCGACGCGTGGAACCACGGCTGGAACGGCCGCAGGGGCAGGGGGCCGCCCCCGAGGCCCCGCTCCAGGAGCTGTGGCGGCCGGCACCGCCACCAGGCCCGCCCCCACCACCACCGCCTCCACCCCCGCCGTTGGAGCGACCGCTGGGTCGAGGGGCCGCCCCTGAGGCCCCATACCAGGCGGTGCGGCCGCCAGTACCGCCACCGCTTCCGCCACCCCCGCCCCCACCTCCGCCCCCGCCGCCGGCGTGGCCGTCACCGTACGAACCCGCGCGGACCTGGGGGAACCCGGAGCCGCTCCGTCGGAGGTTGGAATACCCGGGGGAGGGGACCGAGGGGGGGGAGTCGCCGCAAAATGATAACGGGTACGCCGGCGAGCCGAAAGGCCGAGACCGGAGGACCCCAGGTGGAGCTTGGGGTCAGTTGTCGGAAAAATAAAATATTCTTACCTTCAAGCCCCCCTCCGAGACTAGGGACAGTCACCACCCGTACACAGGAGAGATGGGAGTGCCCCCCGCCCCCACTTGCCCTGACTGCACAGGATAGCGTGCCCCGATAACGGCGACACATAGTGGGGGACACTGCGCAAGGAGAGGGTGCGAAGCCAAGGTTGGGGTTCTAGGTGGTGGGACCATGAGGGGGGGTGGGCGGGGTCCTGTGGGGGTGAAATGTTGCGCGGCGAATTCGAACCTACCCCCTCGCCGCGCCGATCCTCACGCGGAGGGTAAAACCCTGTGGGACAAGGACAATCGACGCTCTCGGAGGCGGCAGTACCAGTCGGAGGTGAAGCGGAGGTGAGACCTCGGCCAAAGAAGAGACATCAGAAACGGCTACAGCGGCCGTCACACCTCACACGACGCTCGGCTGGCGAATAAAAGAGCGAATCAGGGAGAACCGGAGCCCCGGGGGGGCGAGCGGTGGAACCCTGAGACGGGATACTGAGCGAGGACCTGTGTACGTGCGTGGTGTACAGTGTCGTGTCTACTAGCTCCGAGTAGAGGGGGCGTTCTGAAGTTAAGGGGAGACCCGGTACACGGAACTAACCCTCGGAGACCCGTGTTTACTTTACGGCCCTTGCCCTGCGAACGCACACCCCCAGGGCTAGGGCTCTCTTGCCCGCAACCCGATGCGCCAATCATCCGGCCCGCTGGGTGCGCTTCTTAGCTCCCCGGCCCTGGATGTGCGGTTGCTGACTGCACTCCAAGCGAGTGCTCCAAGTGCTCCCCCGACGCTTTTCCAAGTGCTGTACTCCAAGTCGGGTGCTGTATGCCCCACAACGTACAAGAGAGCACACAGGCCCAACTGACAGACGATAGACCGAACCGCATGCACACATGCGCGATGAACCCATGCAAAACACCAAAGACAGGTTTGTGACCTCGGCACCACCGCTAAACCTCCTCCACCGCCCCCGCTCCTCCCTCCAGCCGACGCGCCCCGCCAACGAGCGTCACCTCGGCGCCCGCGCGGCAGCCTGTCGACACGCGCGACACCGGAACCGCCGGCGGCGACGAGGCGAGGCCGCCGCTCAAGCAGCGGAGGGAGCCCGCTGCGCCGCCGGCCCAGCCGAGGCGCAGCTGCTGCGACCTCCCCGCCGGCGCCACGCGCAGCCCGGGCAGGGAGCCGACCGTGTCCTGCGCCTCCTCCCCGTCGGACGTCACGTCCGAGGTGCGGCGCACGCTCGAGCGGTGGCCCGAGGCGCCCGAGCGGGCCGAGCCGTGCCGCGACGAGAGGTGGATCGACGAGGCGAGCACCGCCGCCGTCTTCGCGGCGGCGGCGTTGAGCCGGCCCGCCGCGGCGTGCCGGGCGCCCATGCGCTTGCTCGCGCCCATCGCCTTGGCGGCGAGCGCGATGCTAATCTCGCGAAAGGGTGTGGCGTGGAAGGCGACGGCGAGGCTCGAGTAGAGCCCGCCCTCCACCAGGTCCTCGGGGGTGGTGGTGAGGAAGTGGGAGAAGGCGACCCCGCCCTGCGCCGGGTCATTCTCGTGGACCGCGAGCAGGCGCATGCCCGCCGCGCGCACGGCCCGCAGGTCGGCGGCGAGCTCGTGGCCCTCCTCCCCCGCAAACGTGCCTCGGCGCAGGTAGAGGAGAAACACCTCGCGCACCAGCGCGGCCGAGTCGGTGAGCGCGGTCCCCGCCGTCGCCGCGTCCGACTCGGAGGAGCAGCCGCTCTCGCACGGCGAGGCGTCGCTCGGCTCCGCAAGCAGCGCCACCGAGAGCTCGCGGAACCGCGACGCGAGCTCCTTGGCCACCGTCCCGGCGCCGGAGTTGTGCCGGCTGAAGCGCAGGCAGACGGGCAGCTCAAAGCTGAGCGCGTCGGCCGAGATCTCGCCGGGGAAGTAGAGCGGCAGCGCGTCGCACGTGGAGGCGTACTGCGGCGAGGCGAGCAGCAGCTGCTCCGCGATCAGCTTGAGGCTCATCTTTTGGAAGTCAGCAATGCGGTGCCACTGAATGGCGCGCCCACCCGCCATGCCCAGCCGGCGGCGGCTGTCAAACACGCGGTCGCGCAGCTCGTCGGGGCACTCGCTCATCGACTCCTCGAGGGTGAGCCCGCCCTTGGCCTCGTTGGCCTCGTGAACGAGCACGATCGGCTTGCGCAGCTGCACCGCGCACCGGATCTCGCGCAGGCAGTTGCGGCTGCTAAAGTAGCCCTTGGACAGGAACATGAGCACGAGCGCGCTCTGCCCAATCTCCGACTCGAGCGCGCTGATGTCGGCGAGGTCGTCGACGTCGAGGAAGATGCGCGAGCCGGGCAGGATCACCTGCAGCGCGCGCTTGATGTTGGCCGCCTGGTCTTGCCCCGTCGACCAAACGTGGCTCACGAACAGATGCCACTTGTCGCCCTGCGCGATGGTGAGCGGCGGCTCGAGCCCATTCTCGACGAGCCGCAGCGTCGGCAGCGTCGTCGCGTACCGGCCGGCCGCCCAGGCGAGGAGGAGGAAGGCGGACACGAGCATCGCCGTGCCAAAGACGACAAACACGAGCGCGGGCAGGTAGCTCGTCCGTCCCATCCCAAAGGTCTCGCACGTGTCGGCCGAGAGGTTGCACACGTTGATGACGAGGGCGGCGATCAGGATCACGAGCAGGCAGACGTGCCCGAGCATCATCATGCGGTCGTCGAGCGGCCGCTTGAACGGCGAGAGGAGGAACTGCATCGTGATGAAGAGGATGGTGACAAGCAGCGCGATGAGCACGCGCAGCTGCGGCGAGCCCTGCGTGCCGATGAGCACAAAGCCGGTGATGGTCAGCCGCCGGAGCAGGTCGAGCGGCTCCCACCAAAAGGTGCGCTGCTCGTACTCGGCCCAGAGGAAGCTGCTCGCGCGCGTCAGCGCGGTCGAGCGCGTGTCGCGGATAGCGCGCTTCGCGGCGAGCAGCAACAGCACGTAGAAGAGCGGCACGCCCACCGGCCAGATGACGAGGAAGACGCACGCCCACAGCTCCACCTCAGCGTACTCGGCAGAGGCGCAGTCGAGGGTGAGGTCGTCCGCAAGGTAGGCGCGGAGCTCGTATGGCTCGTCGGCGGTGCTGAACTCGACGCAGTTGAACGACGAGAGGATCCGCTCCGAGGTGGAGGGCACCACGACAAAGGTGAGGAAGAGCGTGAGCGGCAGCGCGCGCAGCAGGCCCCGCCCCACCACACCCGCCGCCCCGTCCGCGGACGACTGCACCCGCCGCACCTCGAGCGCCGCGCGTGCGGACCCGCTCCTGCCAGCCGTCCGGAAGGAGAGCTGCCGCGCCTGGCGCCGGATCCGCTGGCCGAACGATTCGCTCGCCTCCAGGGCCTCGGCGTCGGAGCTGGTGACACTGACGCTCGAGCCGCGCCCAGGCCCGTCACCCGGCTGCGGCGGCAGCCGCGAGAGGCCCACGGCGTCGAGAAAGGCGATCCGCCCCCGCGGGGAGACGAGGCTGGAGACGCGCTGCAGCATGGCGCGCGGCGTCGTGATGAGCATCGTCGCCACCCGCGGGGACGCCGCCTCGGACATAGGCGGCGGCGGCGGCGGCGGCGGCAGCGGCTCCACGGACTGCGTAGCTTCGGACGGCGGCGGCAGCGGCGGCGGCGGCGGCGGCGGCGGCGGCAGCAGTGGCGGCGGCAGCGGCGGCGGCGACGGAGGCGGCGACGGAGCGCCCACCGCGCCCGTCACACCCTCGTTGGCGCTCTCCTCGCGCAGCGAGGTCGTCCCGGCAACCTTGCGGCGCGCCGCCCCCTCCTGCACGATGTTTTTGAGGGCGATCAGCGCCAAGACGACGATCGGCCACGTCGACGAGACCGTCAGCCGGACGAGGTACGAGCCGTAGCACGCACCGGGCAGAAAGATATCGGGAGAGAGCGCGGTGATCCACCCAAACAGGCTGAGCAGCGAGTCAAACTGCTCGGGGATGTCCATGTCATAGACGTACGGCACCGCCCAGATGCACTGCACCATCGCGATGATGATCTTCATCTTGCCCGTCATGCCCGACTGCCGCCACAGCAGCGCGTACTTGCGCACAAAGTGCACGACGTCCCTCGCGAGGCGGCGCTTCGGCACCCAGTTCGACGAGATGATCCAAGAGGTGACGCCGACGAGGAGGGCGAGGAAGAGCACGAGCGCCGCAATCTTGGCCAGGGAGACGGCGACGGAGCCGCAGGGCAGGCAAGTGGCCGACCAGACGTCAAAGTAGTACTGTGGCTCGACGCAGACCTCGCAGCGCGGCCCGCGGTGCCCGTCCACGCAGCTCGCGTTGCCCGCTTCGGGCCCCCCGTTGCAGGGCGAGACGTCGCCACTCACGGCGCACTCGTGAAAGTCCGTGGTGCAGTTGGTGTGCCGCCACCAGGCAAACTCGCTCGGCAGCGTCGTCAGGGAGACCGCCGCGGTGCAGTTTGCGCCACTCTCGGGGCACTCCTCGCAGGACCAGTCCAGCGGGTCCTCGGCGCAGTCGGCCAGGTAGAAGCCAATCTGCAGGGGTGGGGAGGGCGCGTGGGCGCAGCGGCGGCGGGGCGAAGGGGCCGCGTGTCCACAGCGAGGGTGTGGGCCCACAGCGAGGGGTGACAGTGCGAGTCAAGTGTGCGCGGCGTCACCTGACAAGTGCACTGGGTGATCATCTCGATTCCGACGCCGGCCGCGCGCGCCATGGTTCCCTCAGGGCACTCGAGCGGGTGCGCCGTGCCGTTCGGGCAAAAGTAGCCCAGCGGGCAGGTCAGGCACGAGAGCTCGCTGTCGCCTCCCGCGTACCGGTTGTACGTGCCAGGCGGGCAGGCCGTCGCCGTCGCGAGCTTGGACCCCGCCTCGCAATAGTAGCCCGCGTCGCACTGGCCGGTGCAGGTGGCTGTGCTCAGGCCGGCTGCGTCCCCATAGTAGCCCGCATGGCAGGGCTCAGGGGAGGTGCCCCCGGCGACGCAGTAGAAGCCGACGGGGCACTCGCTGCACTCGCTGGCCTGGGTCAGGTTGCTCAGGCTGGAGTAGGTGCCGTCGGGGCACGGCTGGGGCACGATGGTGCCCTCCTTGCAAAAGCTCCCCGCATCGCACGCGAGCGGCTCGACGGTGGCGTCGAAGGGGCACTGCGTCCCCGCGGGGCACTCCCCCGCGCACATTCTGTTCGACTGATACGCGATCTCCGCCGACCCGCGGATGCCGGGCGCGCAGGGGTAGGGGAAATTGCTCTCGATGGGCGCCGTGGGCAGCTGGTACAGATACTGGCCCAGGCTGGACGGGTCGGCCTGCCAGTCGCAGTACTGGACAAACGTCGCCGCCGTGCAGGTCTCACCGTTGCCCGTCACGGGTGGCGTGCAGACGTCGCCCTCGCAATCGTCTGGCAGGACGGCGCACTCGTCGCGGTCCTTCTCGCACTGGCTGTCGCCGTCCGCGCATGCCGTCCCGTAGGTCTCGCGGAAGACGACGCACCTGGCGTTGGGCAGCCAGTGGCCCGCGGGGCCGGGGAGCTGGTACTTGACGTCCGCGTTGTCGACGTAGACGGAGCTGCCCTCCTGCCCAGCAACGCCCCCCTCGAGCACCGTCCGGTTCGACATCGTGACGTCGCCCGCCGCGTACAGCAGGCCGCCGCGCTCGGAAGCCGTGCAGGCGGAGAGCGTGCAGTTGGCCAGCCAGACGGGACCGTAGCCGCTGTCGCCGCTCACGAAGATGGCCCCGCCATCCCTCGCCTCGCACCCCTCGATCGAGGAGTCCCTCACGCTCACCTGCGAGGCCCTGAGGAAGAGGGCGCCGCCGTTTGACGCCGTCGCGCAGTCCTTGATGGTCACCTCCGAAATGCTGAGCTGCGCCGAGTAGGCAGCGACGGCCCCGCCCGGCTGGCTGTTCGAGTGGAAGTCCGAGATGGTGCATCGCGAGAGCAGCGCGGCGCCGCCCGGCTTGAGGATGAAGGCGCCCCCTGTCAGGGTGGACCGACTGCCCATGACGTGGATGCCATGTACCTCCAGCATTCCGCCCGCCCGGACGTCGAATAGGTAGTGCCCGTCGCTACTCGACCAGCCGGAGGATGGCGAGAGGACGACGCTGCTCGAGTCTGCGGCGTACAGCGTGACGTTGGCCGCCTCCAGCACGAAGGACTCGTTCAGGAGGTAGACGCCGCTACTCATGCGGATGATCCGCTCCGAGGCATCCTCTTGACTCAGCTGCGCCCGCAAGCCCTCGGTATTGTAGACGTCCACGTGCCCCTCGGGGAGCGGAGTCAGCGGAGGCGGCGGTGGCGCGGGTGGGGCTGGCGGGGAGGGCGGCGGGGAAGTCGGCAGCGGCGCACTCGGGGGGGGCGAGGGGCTCGGTGGCTGCGGCGGAGCGGCGGGGGGCGACGGCGGCAGCGGAGAGATGTCACGTCCGCCGCAGTCTGCGCAATCCGTCGAGTAAGCACACACGTTATGGATCCATGTCGCTCGAGATACGGGTGACC